ACGTTTCGACAAAGTTTTGTCATCAGTACCTGATAATGACAAAACCTTGTCTAAACGTTGTACATTTGCTGTTATATTAAAGTTTTTTCTTCGTTACCCATTCAAGCCGTCTCCACTCCATGAAGATGTTACATATTGGAGATAATGAGTTCCCCATTGCCATTCCATGCTTTTGTTTGAAAGCGTTGAAACTAATTTCTGTGTTAATACTTTGTTCCAAAAGAGTAGTTTATTCTTTACAATCATTCAGTGTTGCTGTTGGTGAGCAGAATCAAGCCAGTAGCTGTCACGTACTACCTGTAGTGGGTATCATACAAATAAAGCCACAGTGTATCTATTGTGAAAAGAGTAAGTTTAAGAAATGATGTCACAAGGTGGATCAGTTAGAAACTTCAGATAACTGATGATGACTAATGTTGCAGCTAATGGTTTGTATATAAACTTAAGTTTTGTTCCTGGATTTTTCTAGCTGTCTAAGTTTTCCTTTATCTGATGACCGTGCATCCTGACAATAGCCCTGCAACAGTTTCCACTGAAAAAGGCTCTATTTTAAGGCTGTCATGCCAAAATCATACCACTTCTCCCTGCAGGCTTTCCATGATCCACATAGTGTTTGAAAACAACAGTTTCCCAGTGCCCACTTCAACAGTTTGATCACACATAAGCCTATAAGCATTGCATCTGAGGACTTGACTTGTATGTCTTTGCAACAAATAGCAAGAATACGCACTTCATTCTCCATTTATTTGAAGTATGCAACTGTTAACTCTTTCAGCATGGGCTCGGTCCCTTGGACCAGCTGCGTAATCATTTTGTGCTTGTTACAGTTTTCATGCTATAACTTTTTAATTATTAAGCATATGTTAACGAAATTTGGCAGATTATCAGTAAATATTACAATGCATGCAAAATATCAATTTCTTTTTATTACGTCTTAAGGTTTGTTAAGCAATGTTTTTCTCATGCCCTATTTTTTTTTCTTTTTGCATGTTGCCTATCCAACATGCAAAGTGATTTTTATTTTAAGATTAAAAATAGTTTTATGCATAAACAAAATTTTCAAATTTCACATGTGAAATCCTTATAATGTACAGATAATTATCAAATGTTTCTTAAGAAAAAAGCTTTATTTTTTATCTGTTATTTTCACTAACGAATCTCTGTATGGGTTCGGTAGATTTGACCGATCTTGTAACCACTATATAAATTATGCCTCTTTCATTCTAGAATGAC